ACTGACATGTCTTTGAAGACAGCAACATCACAAGTGGGAAAAAACCCAACTATAAAGCAGCAAAGACAGATGTGGTCTGTCATGACCTACGCCTGGAGCCCTTTGCAGAGGACAGCAGGCATTGTATGGCTGTTGAAACATTCAGTCACCAGGTAACTCAGAGCATCCTTGGGCTCTGAGGCTCCAGGGGAACTCCATGGGAAACAGCCTGAAGCAAGCACTGATGTTCCCTCCCTCAGCTGGGAGACACACTGCCTTCCTGCAGTGCCATTTCTCCGATGAGACAGAGTTTGGTCTAAACAATTCTGTTTCTACAAAGTTCCATGATTTTGTAGAATCATGGAATCATTTAGGTTGGAAAAGACCCTTAAGAACATTGAGTCCCCCATTAACCAAACACCGGGAAGTCAACACATTAACTATGTCCCTTAGACCATGTCTTTCATATACCTCCAGGGATGGTGACACAGCCACTTCTGCAGGCAGCTTGTTTCTTGTCCCCATCATCTGACAGGACAGGCAGACCAGGCCAGGCTGGGATCTCCTTTACCCCTGCTGAAGGAAGCGATTCAGCCTGGTCAGTTGAGGCATCTGGGGTTGTAGCCATGGGGCTGGAAGGGGACTCAGCTCCCTCCCATGAACACCACAAACCCACAGGAGGTCTCACTTCGTCAGAAGGTGAAAATGCATCGTTATATTGATGATGTCTTAATCAGAGGAGATTGCCACACAGAGGCAGGGGAAGCAGCAACAGCAATGTGGGAAGCACTACATGATGTCAAAGTTCCACCTGAGCAATGTCAGAAACCAAGTAGAAACCAGCAGATCAACACTCCCACCCAACTTGGTGTTGTCCACAAATGTTGTCAGCTTATTTGGGGCACCCGCACTCGGGAGCGGGGGTGTTTGGTGGGGCCCCTCCAGGATTTTCGGTCCTGAGTTCATTTGAGGGGGCCCGTGGTGATGGTGGGTTCAGTTCACTTTTGGGAGGCTCCAGCCCCTCCTCATTTGGGGGTCCTGCCTGCTCGAGTGCTGCTTCAAGGAGATTTGGGGTTACCCCAAGATTTCTGGGGGCACCACAATTGCTTTGGGTGTCTCCAGGGTCCTTTGGGGGGGGCAGTGTGGTTTTGGGGTGCCCCTTTATTGAGGTGCCACTTTTGGAGGGTCCCCCCCTCTGTGCCCCTGAATTCACTACTGAAACCAAAGCAATGTTGGGGTCCCCACAGTGGATTTGAAGTCCCACAGCATTTTGGGGGATCCCAGGTCAGGTGCTGGGGGGATTTTCAGAACACCCCTTCTTCAGGGGGCTCCCTCCTGGCTGCTGCTCTGAGCTGGGGCTGCTTTGGAGCTGCAGGGTTTGGGTTTGGGGAGATTTGGGGGTCCCCACTGGGAATTTGGGTGTGGGGGGGCTGGGTTCGGGGGTGCCAGGTTCTGGGGTCCCATCTGGCTTCCAGGTGCTTGTGCAGAGCCCCAAGAGCCTCTTCAGGTGCTCCTTGCACAGCTCCTTCAGGTCCCGGGGCTGCAGCTGCAGCAGCTTCACGTCGACCTCGTGCTGACGCAGTTCCTGCAGCAACTGCGGGGACACCTCTGGGGGGGGGGAAGTGCAGGTGCCAAAGCTCCCCGGGGGCAGGAATCTGGGAGACCCCCATGTCCCTCAGTGGAGGCAAGGGACCTTTGTCCCTTGCACCCTGAGTCTCACTGGATGCCCTGTGTTTCCCCATGGCAGTAAGTGGGGGGAATTTGAGGGTTCAGAGGAAGATTTGGGGATTCAGGGAAGTTCTGGGCTTTAGGGATGTCCTCAAGACTCTCTGGGTTTGCAGGGATTTGGGGAACCCCTGTCTCCTGAAAATGGAGGGTATATTTGTCCCAAGGCACCTGGGGCGTCATGTGCTCCCTTTGCCATAAATGGGGGGAATTTGGGGCTTCAGAGGGATTCGGGATTTCATGAGGGGTCTCCAAAATTCCCCATAGTGGGCACAGTAATTTGGGATGTCCCCCCATGTTCCACAACATGGTGGTGTACATCTATCCCAGGGTACTGCGAGTCTCTTTGATGCCCCATGTTCCCCAGTGGTGGAGATGTGTTGGAGGAAGAGAACCTGGGGGTTCAGAAAGGACCTGGAGGCTCAGGAGGGATTCTGGGGTTCAGGAATCTCCCCAGAAGTCCCCAGGGGAAAGCAGGGATTTGGGGGACACATCCATGTCCCAAAAATAGGGGTACAATTGTCCCAGGGCACCCTAAGTCTCTCTTCGGTGCCCCATGTTGGCCAATGGAGGTAAATGGGGGTACCCATGGGAACCTCATGAGGAGGTTCTCAAACTCGGTGTGGGGGAGGGGTGAGAGTAATCTGGGGGACCACCATAGCCCTCAAACAGTAGCTAAAGACACCAGAAACCACCCCACAGATCATTGGAGAGGGGGAACTGGAGATCTGGAGGGACCCATTATTATTATTATTATTATTATTACTACTACTAATAATAATGTTGCTATTATTATTAATATTAAAATATTGTGCTTGATTTCAGTTCCTGATTTGCTCTCATCTTCACCTACGGGCTTTGCATTGTTCCCATTCTCCTCCCCATCCCACCCAGGTGCTGAGCGAGCGGCTGCTGGTGCTGAGTTCCCGGCTGGGTTTCAACACTGACCCTGTCCTGGCCCCTTGGCTGTGGCAGCAGGGACTGGGTGTTAGCACTCTTGGAGCTGGGCTCTTTGCATAGGCACGCAGCTGGAAGCAGCATTCTTTGGCTCAGGAAGCGCAGCTCCCGAGTGTTGCTGGGGCTGGGGGAGTGCTTGCCAAGGGCAGGGGAGGCCCAGCAACAGCTCCTGTCCTGGCCCTGTTGCTGGGGGAGCACAGGGGCTCCCGTGGGCATTGCAGCAGTCAGGATTGCACAGGTGTGCCCAGAGCCCACCAGCTCCTTCCCACCTTGCGCAATGCCCGGTGGGCTTCCGGGCCGTGCCTACACCTGCCAGGGCCTTTGTCACCTTCCAGAATGCATTGCCAGAGCCCAGCAGAGTACTGGAGCTTTCCGCAATGCCCAACACTGGCCTGGCCTTTACCAGAGACCACCGGCACCCCTCCTGCATTCCACAATGCCCGGTGGGCTTCTGCAGGCCTTGCCAGAGCCAGGCAGGTCCCTTGTGCTGAGCTGCCAGTGACAGCACCAGCAGCTGCACTGCCCAGGGGCTGCTCCTGCCTTGACACCTTCTCAGCACCTAGGACACCAGCAGCTCCTGCACACAGAAGGCTCCTGCTTTGCACCCACAATGTGTTTCAAGCCACTCTAAAACAGGATTGCAAAGTCAAAGAACACGTACCTGCATGGGCAGGGCAGCCATGGGAGATGCAGCCTCCCGAAGGAGGGGTCTCCTCTGCACTGGTTACTTCAGGGCTCTCGCTCCTTAAATAGCCCGCGCTCACCGTGGGGCCCCATCACAATGGGCAAATCCACAGCGACGGCCACGGCTTTGTGATAGCGGCAGCATAGTGCTCATGGCCACTGGGCACCCAGGGGTTGGGACTGCGTATGCTTTAAGGTCCCTTCCACCCCAAACCAGGCTGTGACTGTGTGACTGTAAAATACAACCTGCATTTGGCTGCAGAACATCTCTCAGCACTGAGTCAGGCCCAAGATCAGGTGCAGACATTTGTGCAGCAGAGCCCTTCTGCAGCCACTTCTTGGCTCTTGTTTGCTGGCAGCTTCCAAAGGCAGTTGTGCCTCTGCCGGAGCCAGAGCAATGGCCCAGCCCGTGCTGTTCTGTGTGGAGCGCTCCTATGGCACCATCAAGTGAGTGCAGGGCTCGGCAGGACTGGCAGGAGGAGAACTGTGGGGCCTGACCCTGCTCCCGGGGCAGATGCGGGTGAGCTCCAGCACTTGGTGTTTCTTGGCAGGAACCTTTGGCTCCAGCTTCCCTTCCACCTGCACCGCCTCCATGACACTGGACTGGGATCAAGTGGGATGGAGTGGTATGGAGCCAGGATAGAACTGGGATGGAGCCAGGACAGAGGGGCATGGATCCGGGAAACAGCAGGGTGAGTGGGGCTGTGGCAGGGATTGTGTGAGAAGGGAGGACTCTGGGTTCGGATTGAGCTGGGGGGCAGGGGGTCGAGAGCAGTGATGCAGTGGGGTGAGGTGGGCTGGGCTGTGCTAGGAGAGCACAGGAAGAGGGGCCTAACCCAGCAGGGGAAGTGCAGGCAGGGATGGAGCCCACTAGGGCAGGGGCTGGCCATGCTGGGGATGGCAGCAGGACCATTGTGCCCCAGCAGGGCTGGGATCTCAGGAGGCTGAACCGAGGTCCTGTGCTTTTGGTGCAGGGATGCCAAGAGCAGGCAGCTCCTTGAGGAAAGCTGCTCACTGCCCCTTCGCACCAGGTAAAGATCTGGTCCCCCCACCTTGTGTGTCCCGTGCACACTGTGGGTGTGCAGCCCAAGAAAGTTTGGCTGAGAACTGCTCCAGTCCTGAACCAATATTTTGGGTAACATAGCCAAGGAGATGGGTACCTGCAGGTAGCACTGTGACCTATCTCAGCACAGTCCTAGAGAGAGCACGAACTAAGCAACCCCTCCCGTGCTGAATCAGCACTGTCTGCATTGATGAATAGTGTAAGAGATGTGTCTGGAGGATTAAAAGTTTTGTTACAGAAGGAAATACTTCCAGTGCAGACATGTTTCCTGGCCCTTAGTTCCTAAGATCTGGAGTACATAGAATCATAGAACAGTCAGGGTTGGAAAGGACCTTAAGATCATCTAGTTCCAACCCCCCTGCCATGGGCAGGGACACCTCACACTAAACCATGTCACCCAAGGCTCTGTCCAACCTGGCCTTGAACACTACCAGGGATGGAGCATTCACAGCTTTCCTGGTCAACCCATTCCAGTGCTCACCACCCTTACAGTAAAGAACTTCTTCCTTATATCCATCTTTGTGTACTGTAAAATGTTATTGTATTCAAATGTAATTTGGCATTCTTGAATTGTGTGACATGATAATGACTATTAAATGATGATAAGTCATGTTTGGCACCTGTTTGATAGGTATGTTCTTAATGCGTGCAGAAGCTGAGATAAGCGTAAGCAATGGTTGTCTTTCTTTAGCCCTTTGCAGGAGATCTTGTGTCTATTCAGATGGCTGCAATGAAACAAGAGGCTGGCTCCAATGTGTCATTAGGGTAGAGAGGCTTCCCTGGGACTCCCTCCTACCATGTAGCACTGATGTATGATGCTAAAGCTGTTTCCCTGGAACACATAGGAACCAGACTTGAGCAAGGAAGGTCAAAGTGAAATGAAAGCACCAGTGCTCATCTCAAGCTTTGTTCACAGTTCTGCAACAAGAGAGTAAGCTGGAATTGGGATGGTTGTTAGGACCTTGATCCTTTCCAATGTGAAAATCATGCCATGAAGAACAACACTTTGAAGAATCTGGTGTTCTCTCTTTGAAGAGAAACAAATGAAGACAGGAATCCCATTCAAAGACCGTATCTCTCAATGCATTCTTCTGTTCAGAAACATTATTGTCTGCTTTTTTGTTTTTCTTCTTTCCAGAGCACTGTGGAGAAAGTGGCAGCTGTCTCTGTCCCAGTTCCTCAGGTGATCCCCCTTGGAATCCCTCTTCCAGGGAAGGCTAACCATGAAGTAGACACAAATGCTCTTCTAGAAATGAAATCAGGTCTGAATGAGAGCTTTGAATCCAGGTAAAAACTTCTCTTACGTGTTTATGTGAAACTTTGAGCCTCAAAACTTTTGTTTGTGTTTCATGATGATTTTTATGAGGGTGCATTTCCTTAAGGATATTAGAAAATTAACCAACATGTTTTGATTCACCAACTCTACTTGCTCTTAACTTTATGCATTCAAACAATATTATTGACATATGAGTTATTTCATGCATGGCAGCAGTCTTGACTGCTTCCAGATCAAGCTTTTAAGCTGTTGCATTTTGCTTTGACTGCAAAAACCAGAGCATGAAAGTATAGTATATTTTATCAACTTTTCATCTACATCCGCTATGGATCATTGGCCTTCACTCCCAGCCGAGGATATAAACATCTGAGGCTGAGGGAGCTGGGCTTGTTTAGCCTGGAGAAGAGAAGGCTTCTCATGTAGAGAACTTAGCAAAGCTCCCAAAGCCTAAAGGGGCCTCAAGAAACCTGTAGAGGGACTTTGCACAAGGGCCTGTAGGGACGGAACAAAGGGAATGGCTTTAATCTGACAGAGGGGAGACTGAGATGAGCTCTTAGGCAGAAGTTCTTTCCTGTGAGGGTGCTGAGGCAGTGGCACAGGGTGCCCAGAGAAGCTGTGGCTGCCCAATCCCTGGCAGTGTTCAAGGCCAGGGTGGACACAGGGGCTTGGAGCAAGCTGCTCTACTGGAAGGTGTCCCTGCCCGTAGGACAGGGCTGGGAGTTGGAGCTGGATGAGTTTTAAGGTCCCTTCCAACCCAAACCAGTCTGGGATTCTGTGATTCTGTGATTTTGTTAAATACCTTAAACACTGGAGCTAATTCTTAAATGATGTGAAAAATGAATCACAGATTCCTTCAAGTGCCAGATATGTTAGTAAGGGTAAGACTGGAAAACTAAATTGTGTTTTCTTCTCCAGTGTCAGGAAACATGACCAAATGCAGGTTCCTCTTCATGCTGCAACAACAACCAGCGCATCTCCAGGACCTGCATATGCATCTTGTTCCAGAACTAACTAGCGCAGTTAGTTAGGAACTACTGCTTGTGTCATAGCTGCCTCCAACCTGGAACGGTGGCAGGTGTGGTCATATACATAAGAGCAACAAGTTTTTGCAGTGATGCCTGTAACTGTCTTTTCTCTGGCTTTTTAATTCTACTGAAAACTAACTTAGTACCTTTCTGGCCTAGTTTTAGTTGTCAGTAAAGTCACTCTTTCCAGTTGTCTTCGTATTTTCTCAATAGCCTTTGATCTGTAAGTCAGTACCAGCAGCTGTGGCTATCAGCTGCTATGTTTCTAGTGACTTTGCTGCTGCAGACTCTAACCAGGAAAATACTGAAAACCTCTTGATAGCCTTAATGACATGTGATGTGGCTTTTTCTTCAGATGGCACCATGTCTTGAATGCAGACATCTGCTGCCAGTGAATACACCCACTTGCACTGGACGTGAGTCACCAGTAGCTCCACAGGTGCATCCCCAAACCAACATCTGCATAAAGGTAATTGAGAATAAATCTAACAGAAGAGCAATTTACCTCCTGGCGTGCATGTTTCTAACAGGTGACTTCATTAAAAGTAGTTTGATCCAGCTTGGGTTTCTCTAATTACACTGTGACAGCTTTAAGTGTTAGTAGGATTCCAACCACCTTGACTAGAAATAAGCATTAAAGGTAAACCACATAAGCTCAGGAAGGCCTCTTGAAGAGCACAGGAGGTAGCAGTTTGAAAGACAGGACATGTGCCCTTGTGTTCAGTAGGGAGATATTCTGTGATTCTATCATTTATGGTGTTTTACTGAGCATTTTAAGTTTATTAAATACATGCTCATTACTCTGCTTCACTCAGTTGATTGTAAGTGCTTAGGACAGACAGGCTGGCAGGACTGGGGCAGTGGGGAGATGCCCAAAATACTCTAGCGCATCATTAGTCAGTGATCCAAAAGTGCTAGTGGGCTTAACTAACCAAAATCTACCCTCCAGAATACTCCCTACCTCAGGGCATGAGGACCTAGGTAGGGGCCATCCTCAACCCTTCCAGTCAGAGGAAAGGGTGTGAGAAGGAGCCAACTGATACCACATGTCCACAATTGGTAGATTATAGACACTGACCCAAACTGGGTGTTTTCTGGCATTCTTGATGCAGATGCAAAGGCACTCCTGAACTATTTGGTGGCAACCATCAAAATAGCAGACTCATTATTCTCAGCTCTGGTGGAATCTCGCTTGTGAGATACACAATTTGTTTTATAGTACTTATTTACTGTATAGAAATATCTACCCAGTTTGCTTTACTGTGCTTGTTTGCTTTAGTGCGCTTGTTTAATCCACTGTGCATGTTATACAGCTGGTGTGTGATCATTTTATTGAGTACCCTGCCTGTCAGCAGAACACTTGTGTGCCCAGCAACCTCCCTGCCTCTCTTACAGACACCAGGTCCTGCTGCATTCCACAAGGTGGAACTGGACATCACAAAAAAGGGACTCCCATGTACACAATGGAATCACAAGCAGCCTTAGAGGAAACAAAACAGAGAAGCCAGGGCCAGCAGACTACCGCCCGGGAAAGGTAAGGCAGCCTGCCCACCTCTCCTCCTCTGCTTTGCAACTACCAGCCAACTCAAAAAGCATCCCCACCTTCTGTTGGGGCTTCTGGGAACACACAACCAGTGGAGTGACCAGCCACAGGACAGCAGGTCTGCTCCCCTGCCTTGGCCCAAAGCTTGGCAGAGGGAAGCCAAGGAACACATCTTTGCCCCTCCACTAGGTCAGCTATTGAAAGCTGACACATGCTCACACATCACGAGCTGTTCAGAAGGCATAAGCAGATCCTGGATCAGGCCTTTCTCATGCACTGGGGATCAGCTGGCAGAGTAGGGTCATCCAGCAATGTCTGGCTGCGGTAGAAGGGCTCTGGACTTGGAATCAATTCCAGTGCCAGCTCAGCTCCAGCCGTGAGCTTGCCCTGCCACATGGAGTGGGCATGTCACTCCAGTTTGCATCAGAGACTAGATCTTTCCTTTGAATGGCCCTGTATCCCATGGGTTGCGATAAGAACAGTCTAGTAACTAAGGTGTAACACAAAACCACTGCTGCTACCACAAATAATAATAATGATAAGGGGAATAACAAGGGGAGAGAATACAACTGCTCACCACTCATCAACCAATACCCACCTGGACCTGAGCAGTGATCTGGGCCTCCCAGGTGACTCTCCCCAGTTTCCCCCTGGGGTGGCTGTGGGGTCTCTCTGCCCCCTGCGGGATGGAGGGATGTGGGCAGGGGGAGGGAAAGGCAGCACAAGGGATGTGACCAGGTCGGGGAGTGTCATAGACTGGGTCACAAAGGGCCCTGCTGTGACCCCACCACCAAGGGCAGGAGGCGCAGGGCGTCCAGTGCAGGCTGGACCTGGAGCTGGGATAGTCCCTGTGCCAGGAGCTGTCCTGCTCTTGGGAACCTTCTCTGCAGCTCTCTTTGTACCCAGCCTGGATGTGTTGGGCTTCCTCCATCTGCCATGTCCTTCAGCGGGGAACGAGGGCACTTGCTGGATCTGCTGCTGCACACCTGAAGGGAAGTGGACTTGAAGCTGTGACTTATTGTGCTTCACAGAGGAATGGTTTACAGAAGTCATCCTTGTGGGGGTAGCTGAAAGGGCCTTATTAGTGACCAATGGTAATTAATCAGGGACTGAATTAAAATCAAATGAAAATCCAATGGTGATTTAGCAATAACTGAATTTTAATTCAACTGTTAATTCACAATGATTTGAAGATGATGTAAATGATAATTTAGAGGATGACTTTGACAACGAGTTTGCCTTTCAGTATCTGTTTGATGCCTACAAGAAAGCTGGAGGGGCATTCTTTACAAGGGCATGTAGTGATCAGAGAAGTGGGAAAGGCTTTAAGTTGACAGAGGGTCTTGAATGAGACCTTAGGAGGAAGTTCTTCCCTGTAAGCATGGTAGGACACTGTCACAGGTTGCCCAGAATGATATCTGTCCAGCAGTGGGTCTTTGCTAGTTCAAGGCTTGCAGGGAGGCAGCTCTGCCTGGATTTACCTCTGATTTAATATAGATTTGATGACGAGAGAAATTCTATTTAAGAAGGTTCAGGACTGAGAAAATACTCCCTGGTCATGGCAAGGGTAGAGTGAAAAAAACAATAAACCTTTGGTTTGCCAGATTTGTCTGGGATTTGGGCTGTGGTGGCCCCTAAAACACCCCCAGAGCATCCACAGGACCCACAGAGTATTCTAGGGATACCCCTAGAGAATGCCTGCAGCACCTCCAGAGCACCCCATGGACCCAGTCAGAGCTCATGCATCACAATGACCTTGGGGACATGGGACCACAGGGTTGGCTGATTCTGGAACTCCCCGTGTTCAGGTGTGCGAGGCCACGAAACCCCATGGAACCCTTCAGCGGAGGCACCAGGAGATGACAGCTGCCCCACGGAACACAAGCTACTGGTGGAGGAGGCAAGAGCAGCTGCTCTGGTGGTTCCCATCTTGGTGTCTCGGATCCGGTGACACCTGTGGACACAGGAGTGTGGAATGAGGTGGGTGGCGATGGCGATCTTGGGGTGCTTTAGGAGTTGCCAAGAACACATCAAGTGACTTCCCCAGAGTGGCTGCTTTGGACTGTGTGTGCTAGTTGTGCTGGCTGAGCTGGAAGCGGAGCACTGTGGCTGCAGAGGGAATGATCCTGGGATCTGGCCTCATTTCTTGTGGGGAGAAGAAGGGCCTCTGGGGATGGGACAAGGGATTTCTCCTGCAGGCCGCACACTCTCTCCCTGCTGCTCTGCTGACCTCAGGCCAGCATCGGAGAGACTGGTCTTGGCCATGGGCTGCACCGTACATCAGACGGTTCCACTGCTGCAGGGCGGCAGAGCTGTCATTTGGGAATGAAAAACTGCCCAGCGGGAAGGAGCCATCCTCAGTTATGCTTTCGAGGGAGCCAGCACCACTGCTCCCCCAATGAGAACCACGTCAGGTTCAACAGAACAAACTTGCTGCAGATGGTGCTGCAGCAGGGGGACCACTGGCTGTACCACTTCAGGTCCCAGCTGGAGGCCACAGGCTAGTTGCAGCTGCACGCTGTGGGTGAGTGATGAAATAGAAACCTTCCTCCTCCACAGCCAGAGAGCTTGAATTTACTCTGGGTCTGAGACCTGGGGAACTGTGAGAACCCTGTGTAAAACAACATTTGGGGCTCCCCATGTGACTGGGACACCCTTGTAATTCTCTGATTTGCATCCCAACCTCTGGGTGCAGTGGGCATGGGCCACTTGCGGATTGTGGTGGCAGTTTGTCAAGGCAGATGAGACACAGCCGACTGCCTGAGCCAGTGTCTCCCCAGAACATGGGCCCCAGTGATCTGCACTGCAGGCCTGGGGGTGAGTTCCAATAGTACAGACACTGTACTATTGGAAAAGTAGGATCTCCATAGCTATGCTATGCTATGTTTTGCTATGCTGTGTGGTGCTGTGCTATGTGGTGCTGATACGCGGATTGACTCCACAGCTTGTGAAAGTTGTAAAGTAGGTATGCTTTATTCAGCTGAGGCACATGGGGGATAGTTCCTCCAAAGGCATGCGCAGCCCAACGTCGTCTTCCCTCTACATTTATTCTCTAAAGTGTTACATATGCAATAGGTTACACAACATGCCTATACATATTCATATCCTTTCCCCACTTCATATTATAATGAGCTAAAGCCTCCTTCATGCCTGCGCAGTGCCTCCTGGTGGTCGTGGGCAGGGGTCTTGAGATGAAGTAAGTGATTCTTCCTGACTCTTGAACTTTTCACCTCTGTGGAGACAGTGTTCTCACGGGAGAATGGATAATTGGTACATAAACTCTGAATAATCCTGAAAGATACAGCAAGGCCGTGAGAGGCCCAAGGAAGCTTAAGCAAGCAAGATAAGAAGAAGCTAGAATTCACTGAGGTAATGAGAACTGTGGACTGTTGGCAAGCTTTTGAGGTCAAGTTCCCACACCTGTGCTTAACCAATTATATGCTAGTTGCAAAGGGTCTTCAAGACATGCATCCAATCATAATATGCCAAATCACTGTAAGTGGATGTAAGAAATAGTAATTAAGGGGTTAAGGCTTTGTAATAAATGGCTTTTTGTCTGATCATATTGATCTCTGACTGAGTCCATATATTTTCTGCAGCACACCTCCGTCTTGCACGCATGCTCACTAGTCCCCTGGCTTCGGCTCAAACCACAGTTCCAGTCTCAGCTGGGTCTTAACCAGATGTATGGTGTTGCAAGTTCAAACTTTGACCACCAGTTCCCCTTATCGGATGTTCTTTCCTTTACATTAAACATCAGCTGCACTTTTAGACAAATACTTATTGTTAACTAAAGGGATTGAGGATAATCAGAAGAATAACATAGGTTTAACGTTCGGTTATTAATTCAGGCCCCCTATCAGTGCTGTGCTGTGCTGTGCTGTGGTATGCTGTGCTGTGCTATGCTGTGCTATGCTAAGCTGGGCAGTGCTATGAGGTGCTATGCTATTCCATTTTAATCCCTGCACTGACCATTAGTCACACAATGAGCCTGTTATTTGCCTGAAATGTCAGACATTTTTTCAGCTCCATAATCATTTTTAAGGACACACAATGGTTCCAAGTGGAAAAAGGATTTGATTTAATTTCATTTGTTTAATTTCATTTCATTTCATGTTCGGAAAATATTTCTCGCGTTGAGGGTAGTGAGACAGTGGCAGACCCTTACCCAGAGAAGCTGTGGCTGTCCCATCTGCAGCAGTGCTCAAAGGCAGCAGGTTGGACACAAGGGCTTGGAGCAACCTGCTCTAGTGGAAGGTGTCCCTGCCTGTGGCAGGGATTGGAGCTGGATGAGCCTTAAGGTCCCTTCCAGCCCAACCCAGTCTGGGATTCCATGATTCTCTGCTGTGCAAATGTCGGTCACTCCTCCCTTCTTGTAGGTGGCCGTGACGCCCTGTTCCATTGCCCAGGTTGAGATGTGAACCCTCGCATGCTCCACCTCGGGACTAAAGGCACTGAAGAAGAGCAAACTGTGAGGGACCTCCCCGAGCCAGCTGGGCAGAGGTTGGTCGCTGTGGCAACTCCCAGAGCAACCCTGGGTGCCCAGTGGCCATGGGCATGGTGCTACCGCCATAACAAAGCTGTGGCAGTCGCTGTGGAGATGCCCATTGTGACAGGGCCCCCACGGTGAGCGTGGGCTAAAAGGAGCATGCTCTAGAGGGAGGAGAAGCTGTCAGAAGATGTGCTGGTGCCATCCCAGCTGTAGGAGCAGGGGATGGGTGAGGAGAAGGCACTGGGCTTGTTCATGTGCTTGAAACTCAGCTGTCTGCAGAGGTGCTGGGGGCGAAGCAGGAGCCTTCTGTGTGCAGGAGCTGCTGGTGTCCTAGGTGCTGAGAAGGTGTCAAGGCAGGAGCAGCCCCTGGGCAGTGCAGCTGCTGGTGCTGTCACTGGCAGCTCAGCACAAGGGACCTGCCTGGCTCTGGCAAGGCCTGCAGAAGCCCACCGGGCATTGTGGAATGCAGGAGGGGTGCTGGTGGTCTCTGGTAAAGGCCAGGCCAGTGTTGGGCATTGCGGAAAGCTCCAGTACTCTGCTGGGCTCTGGCAATGCATTCTGGAAGGTGACAAAGGCCCTGGCAGGTGCAGGCACGGCCCGGAAGCCCACCGGGCATTGCGCAAGGTGGGAAGGAGCTGGTGGGCTCTGGGCACACCTGTGCAATCCTGACTGCTGCAATGCCCACGGGAGCCCCTGTGCTCCCCCAGCAACAGGGCCAGGACAGGAGCTGTTGCTGGGCCTCCCCTGCCCTTGGCAAGCACTCCCCCAGCCCCAGCAACACTCAGGAGCTGTGCTTCCTGAGCCAAAGAATGCTGCTTCCAGTGCTAACACCCAGTCCCTGCTGCCACAGCCAAGGGGCCAGGACAGGGTCAGTGTTGAAACCCAGCCGGGAACTCAGCACCAGCAGCCGCTCGCTCAGCACCTGGGTGGGATGGGGAGGAGAATGGGAACAATGTGAAACCCGCAGGTGGAGATGAGAACAGGTCAGGAACTGAAATCAAGTACAATATTATAATATTAATAATAATACCAACATGATGATGATTATGATGATAATAATGATGATGATGGGTCCCTCCAGATCTCCAGTTTCCCCTCCCCAAAGATCTGTGGGGTGGTTTCTGGTGTCTTTAGCCCCTGTTTGAGTTCTCTCGTGGTCCCCCAAATTACACACCCACACTAGTTTGAGGACCTCCCCATGAGCCCCTAAATTCCTTCCTTTTACCTCCATTGGCCAACATGGGGCACCAAAGAGAGACACAGTGTGCCCTGGGACAGGTGTACCCCTACTTTGGGACATGGAGGAGCTGAAGAGCAGAGAGAAGGGATAGAGCAGGGAAAGGTGCTCATGTGGGAGCAGAGATCACGCAGCTGACCCTCATAGCCAATCTGTGAAGCTTCCATCCTCATCCTTGTCTACGAAGATCATGGCAAAGAGCTGCACTGTTGGCCTTTGACTTTCTAGGCATCTGTGCTGTGTTCTTAGGTAAGATGTGGCAAACGTGAAGCAGGAGACACTGATGTTGGTACTGAGGAACTCAATGCCTTCTTCAGTTGAGTCTTTACTAAAACATTCTCCAAAGCCTCTCAATGCAGGGGCTCCAGGAAGAGGAGAGCACGCATTAGCAGGAGCCCCAGGAAATCGCAGAAGGACAAGTGCCAGTTTCTGCACCTGCAGGGGACTCCCCTGCAATGGCACAGGCTGGGGCTGCCTGGCTGGGAGCAGCCCATGAGAAAGGTCTGGGTGGGCAGGAGTTGGACAGGAGGCAGCGCGTGCCCTGGCAGCAAGGGAGGACAGCAGCACCGTGGGCTGTATGACCAGGAGCACGTCAGGAGAGCAAGGGAAGGGATGCTCTGGAATACTCAATCCAGGTTTCAGATCCCCAACTCAGGAACGCTATTGGCAAGCAGGAGTGGGTTCAACAATGGGCCCTCAGGACAGGCAGGGACTGGAGCCCGTTGCCTATGGGGAGAAGCTGAGGGAGCTGAGCTTGTCCAGATCTCACCCCAGCCCTTGATGGGGACCTCAGATCTTGGGAAGGGAATGCTGTTGGGGACTGGCTGCCTGTACGAGCAAGGAGGACATGGAGCATACAGAGCCAGGTTCCTCGCCATGTACCTGGTGGGAGGACAAAAGGCAATGGGGGATAGTGACAGAGGAGAGGTTCAGGCAGTACAGAAGAAAACTTTGTTCCCATAGGCTCAGGCAAGTGCTGCATCAGGTCACCCAGAGAGGCTGTGCAGTCTCTGGCCTTGGGGTTTTCCAACTCAGACTGAATCAAGCCTTGAACCACATGCTCTGATCCTGTTCCTCATGGGTTGGAGTTGAGACCTCCTTGGGTCCCTTCCAGCCTCTGTTCTCTTATGATCCTACAATGATGGGCTTATGAAGGGTCACAAAGATGCTCTAAGGGCTGGAGCACATCTCCGTTGATGACAGCTGAGAGAGCTGGGGGTGTTCAGCCTGGAGAAGAGAAGGCTCCAGGGAGACCTTACTAAGCCCATACCTAAACACAGCCTACAAGAAATCTGGAGAGGAGCTTTTTACAAGGGTGTGCAACGACAAGAAGGAACTGCTTTAAGATGAAAGAGGGGAGATTTTGATTAGACATTAGGAAGGAATTCTTCCCTGTGAGGATGGTGGAACACTGGCACAGGGTGCCCAGAGGGTCTGTAGCTGCCCATCCCTAGCAGTGTTCAAGGCCAGGTTGGAAGGCACTTGGAGCAATATACTCTAATGGACCACTATAAAAGACCCCCATAACCTCCAGAAACACCCCTAAAAAAACTTCAAAAAAACCCCAAACCACACCCACAACTTCTGGTGTACACCCTAAAACATCCCCAGAGCCCCCAAAACACCACTGGCATTCCTGAAACTCCTCATGTCTTTGTCTTCCCCCTGCTGTGATGCCGTGTCCAAAATCAAACCCTAAACCCTAATCCTAAACCATATCCCTAATCCTAAACTCTATCCATGAGCGAAAACCCTGTTCTTTACCCTAACTCTAACACTCACTGATTTTTTTAATGTTATAATATTATAATAGAATTTAATTAAAATTATCTATTATTATAATAAAAATGCTTATATATCTATATTACTATTATAAATTATACACTGTAATACAAATCCTTTTCAGCACGGTAGGCCCATGATGCCTCAGTCCATAGAAAGTAAGGGGAGTCACCCAGAAGAGAAGGGTCCCTGCTGGGATAGGGCTGGATGTCACTCAGCAGGTATTGAGCATCACTAATGGCTGTGGTGCTTTATTTCCACTTTTAGTTCTGTATCTCTTCCCTTTTTGTGTCCAATATTATTAATAACAAAAATACTAATATTACATTGTGCTTGATTTCAGTTCCTGACCTGTTCTTATCTCCTCCTGCAGGTTTCACATTTTTCCTATTCTCCCCCCCATCCCACCCGGGTGCTGTGCTTTTGGTGCAGAGCTGTCAGTCTCTCTCGCCACCAGGCTTCACAACACACTTGTACCTTTTTGTCACACCACCATTCACAACAGGGCAAAACCAATTTCTGCCTATGGCTGCTCTCACTAGTGCAACATCTCACAAATGGTTTGTGGGTTTAAACCTTAATTGTTGGCAAACTGAATCCCCATGTCTTGCTACAACCAGCATTCCAACTACTCTGTAGGCATTACAAGGGTCATTGACCCTGTCATTAAGGGCTATTGGTACCGCAGTGTCCTAGAAAGGATTTTAACATACATCCCCAAGGTCACACAGGTTAACATCTGCTCAGACAGCTTTGCATTCTGCCACGCACAAATCATCCAGCATCTAGAAGGCAACAGCAACACAGAGAGATGGGGGAACAGCATGAGCACTGCTCCCTGCTGGGATTTTCTGGCATGCACCTGCCTTTCCAAGCAAAAAGGCAGGTGCAAGGTCTGAACTGACCCATTTTATCACAGCTCATCAGAGCACTTCCCCAGTTCATCCAGCAGGGCCTCAGAAACCTGACTCAGGTCTTCCTTCCAGCAGCAGCTCACAAACACAGAGATGGGCACAGGGCCTACTACAGGCTGCCCAACTGAAGCAGAAACCATTGGCATGAGCAGGTCTGTCTCAAACCAGCAAGGTCTTTTATAGCCTGGCCTACATCCAGACACAGTCCATGTCACTGGGCTACTCGAGAACATGCTTAGCTCTAGTCAAGAAACTTTGTGCTGAATGGGGACCAGCCTGCTCAGCCATTTGCAGTATACCCTGAAGATCACCCAGCTAACATTGAATCCTAGAGATGGGAATTGTGAGAGCAAATGCAGACCCACCTGCACCTGAGGGCTAAATAGTCATCTGTGGGGGAAGTTAAACATGAGGATGATTTATTTGTATGCATTCTGAAGCAAAAGGGTTATAACACATAAAATGCTTGTTCACCACATTTTTGTAGGAGGATTTTTAAATCCTTTACTTTGTGGGCAATCTTCATCCATCCCTTGGTGCCTTGCTACACTCATGACGCAGGTGTAGACCATCCTCTTTCAGTACTCCATTGATGAATGGTGCTTTGCTCTCTTCAGGTAGCTTCAGAGCACGAGGAGTTTCACCCGGCAAGCAGCTCTGCTCAGCACATGTAGAATCATACATGTTGAAAAGGACCTTAAGATCATGTAGTTCGAACCCCCATGCCATGGGCAGGGACACTTCTCACTAAACCATCTCACCCAAGGCTTCATCCAACCTGGCCTTGAACACTGCCAGGGATGGAGCATTCACAGCCTCTCTGGGCAACCCATTCTGGTGCCTCACCACCCTAAGAGGAAAGAATTTCCTCCTTATATCCAATCTAAACTTCCCGTTTAAGTTTTGACCCATTACCCCTTGTCACGGCTTGCAGATATGCTCAGTGACTCTGAACGCTGGCCTAATGCAGCAGACAGCCTTGTGTTCTGCAATGGGCCCTCCACTCGTGTCCCATCTTCAATGTGTCTGTGCTTTCCTCCTGAGAAGCTGTTTCTTCTAGTTTTTCACTCTTGTCCTCAAGGGTGCTGG